TAGGCAGACTTCTTACCCCCCATCATACCCACCCACCCACCCATGCACCCCTTCCACCACTCCTCCTCCAAACCCACCCACCCACACACCCTGCAGCACACACACAGCATCACTGAAACACACACACACATCATTACACATGCATAAACACAGTGCTCGATACACATAAACGATAGACTGTGATGTGCTCATACACTGTAGCCGCGCAGACAAGTGCTTTGTCTTGTGCAAGGACAGGCATGCAGTCCCCAGATAGGCAGACTACTTCTCCCCCAGATAGGCACCCCTTCCCCCCCCCCCCCCCCCCCCCCAACCAAAACAAACACACACACACACACCCACAGCAGCACACACACGGCATCACTCAAACACACACACGACATTACACATGCACAGACACAGCACGCGATACACGAAGAAAAAAAAAAGAGAGACTGTGATGTGCTCATACGCTGTAGCCGCACAGACAAGGGAAACGACGAAGCACAAGTTCATTTCCTGTATCCACATGCGCCCCTCTTACGCTGTCAAATGTGCACGTTAAGCAGTGAAAGGGGGTAGGTAAGTTTGTTGCCATCAATAAAAAAAAACAAAGTGTGTAAATCATTATTTCACAGCTGAGTGTGACTGACGGCAACGGAAAAAAAAAAAATTGAGTGCACATTGTCTGCGCGACCAGATCTCAGAAGGTACAAATGTCGGCGCTGAGAGTTGGGAACGAGAATCGCGAATGACGAAGTGAATATACTATATAGCCACCTCCTTTTTCGCCAGTCTATATATGTCCGTCTTATTCAATTTCTAGCTAAGAATCGAATGGCACTGGGAGAGACTTTCCCCGCGGGACTTTGACAGGAACACATCAACCCCTCATGGTCTGGGTCCCAGTACTACAGCAACAAAAAAAAAAAAACATCCAATATAAAATAACTTGAAATTCATAATTTTAAAGCACCTACACGTTTCTAGTATCTATCCACAACAATCTTGCTTGACCAACTGCAACTGTATGTGGTTTTAAACTTCTTACTTACCATTGGGATTGTCGCCATCAATTACAAAAATCAACAAGCAGCAAAAATAGAAGGTTCAAGAAAAAAGGGAAAAAGGGAAAAAAAAGAAGGTACCTCATTGTCTTAAATTTTCAACATGCGGCCAGAGTGAAGAAATCACCGGATCAAATCCAAGTCGCAGCCCAAGAAATGAAAATGTCAAAAATAAAAAGAAAAGCTTAACAAGACGGAGAAAGTTGCTGCTACTATGTGCAAGCAGCCGCGCAGTACAACCAACTTTACTGCATGCTGGAAACCTCTTCACACTGCAAAAGAGATCTCTGTGTGTGTGTGTGTGTGTGTGTGTGCGTGAGAGAGAGAGAGAGAGAGAGAGAGAGAGAGAGAGAGAGAGAGAGAGAGAGAGGTGGTCATCAGAAAAAGTACACGTGACACACATTAAAGCCATGAATGAATAACTCACCTCACCTCTCGCGATCCTCTGCTAGTTTTACGTCTCAGATCCGTCCCCGTCTTCGCACTTGCAGTTACATGTTTAATGACCTCCATCCAGTCATCCTCCACAATGGCAGCAGCATGAAGTCTCGATGTTCACTTTCACTCCTTGTCCATCCCAAAGAAGACCAGAGATTCTCCAGTGGTGCAGGAAATCCAGCCATGACTGGTGAGTAGCATAAAATTATGGTCATCAAAATCGACAATATCCAGAAAATTCTCAGGCAGATAATCAGGATGGCAACATACACTAGTAAGTTCAACAACCCAAGGGTTCAGAAGAGAAAGATAAACAAATCACCGCAGTGTAAAATCGCCGCAGTGTAACAGCGACTGGCTCAGTGTCCTCTCAGTTCGAAGCCGTGGGTTTTAACTTTTAACCCTCGGTTACAAAGCTTCTGAAGAATCTGAACCCTTGACTGTAACCCTTTATCCTCGCAGTTTTCGAAGCTGTGGGCTGTAACCCTTGGGCTCAGTACCCTCTCAGTTGGAAGCAGTGGGCCGTAACCCTTGGGCTCAGTATCCACTCAGTTTGAAGCTGTGGGATGTAACCCTTGGGCTCAGTATCCTCTCAGTTGAAAGCAGTGGGCTGTAACTCTTGGGGTCAGTATCCTCGCAGCTGTGGGGTCTAACCCTTGGTTACACAGCTTCAGAACCCTTGGGCTCAGTACCCTCTCAGTTGGAAGCAGTGGGCTGGAACCCTTGGGCTCAGTATCCTTGCAGTTTTCGAAGCTGTGGGCTGTAACCCTTGGGCTCAGTATCCTCGAATATCAACACGATAAAAATGTGCACGTAGGAAAGCGCAACCCCCCCCCCACAAGGGTACTGGAATGTGGAAAATCACTGGAGACGGTGCAGCAAGAGATATCATGCAGAAAGCTGGACATGGCTGCGGCAGTACCCCTTTTGCATCTTCCAATTCTTCAGGACGATGACGACGTTCTTCTCGGAGCGTCACATGCACTTCCTCTAAAAAACTGTGAGCAGAATTTTTTTCCCAAAATACTAACTGTAGACTCTGCGGAGCTTCGTCTTGCAAAACTTGCTGTGCTCCAGAACACCCTTCTCGCTGTTTTGTGAATCACTGGCCCCACAATCTCTGAGTACATTTCACAATGACACATCGATTCGCCAAGAAACATCTCCAAAATTTTTACCCTTATGGCCCCAAGCAACCGTCTCAGATCATTTTCCTCGTTCCGCAAGTCATTTCAACGTTCTCGCATGCCACAATCATCTTCGGACTTGATGTGGTCCCCACAATTTCTGAGCATGCTTCACAACCTCTGATCGATGGACACGAGTCAGACAGAAGAGGCATCTTAACATTTCTCTGTCCTTGAAGAAGTCCCGGTCCATCTCCGGGGCCATCTCCCTCCCCACTTGTGCCTCACATGCCCCCATCTCCCTCCCTACTGCTGTCTTGCTTGAAACGCCCCGCGACCTGTGAGTGTATCTGCCTGCATTTCCCCCCTAAGACTATCCGTCAACCGAACCAAAGGCAACCTGTGACCTGTGATTATATCGCAGCCAAATATACGCTTGTGCAGATCTTGCAAAATGGTTTGCTCGAATCAGAGCACTTCGTTCCTCTACCTTTCCGTTCGAATTCAGACGAGTGGCCTCCACGAACGCAGCGTTCTTGCACTCCCCATGACCACGTCAACCTTCAATGACTATTCGTCAACGGAACCGAAGGCATCAGGCCCATCTTCCTCCCTACTGGTGTCTTGAACGCTCCACAACCTGCGATTCTATCTTACCCAAATGTGTGCTTGACGCCGACCTTGCAAAATGGTTTGATCGGATCAACACTTTGTGCCTCTACCTTTCCGCTCAAATTCAGAGAGCCGCCTCCACGAACGCAGCGTTCCTGCATTCCCCATGACCACCTCTAGCAACGTTTCTCGACTTCCGACGACAATTCATCAATGGAACCCAAGGCATCTCAACCATATCCTGTCCTTGATTTGCTGTTCGGTCTTTGGGTCTGCCTTCCTCCCCTCCTGGTGGCTTGAAGACCCCACAGTCTCAGCGTGTCTTCCTTCATTTCTCCATGACCTTTGACCATCCTTCTCCACATTTCGTTACTACCTGACACACTGCCCTGCCCTCGCAACCTCCATTCCCACAGCCAATCCTCCCCTCTTGTCCTTGATGCCAGAACATCATTCTTGCTTTGGCCAAAGTACCAACCATATTCCTGATAGCGTCAAACACATGGCACTCGGTAGAAAACAGAATCAGACTGAAAGAAGAAAAACACGGCTCACAAATCATAGTCCCGGCAAAAGCAAATTAGCTTCTACGGAATGAAACTAGTTATGAGAGATCGCACACACTGCCAAACAATGTTATATATAGACTCTCAAGCCATGCTCACACGAGGACTCTCCTGCACGTATCTGACTGCAATTGCAACCCGTCCGCTGTGTATGTGGCCTCAATTACGTCCATAGATAAGGTGAAATAGTCCTCGTGTGAGTATGCGACTATGCGCACAAAAAGCATACTGCCGCCACCCAATTGAGTACATTTTGGGCCCCACCACAGGAGGAAACACTCCTCCTTCTGCACCCTCAGTGCAATACCAAGCCCTAAAATGTGCCACCCTGCACGTCAGGGAGGTTCAAAACAAAAAAAAATGCGCTCACGATTCCGTCAAAAGCAAATTAGCTTTTACAGAATGGTGATGAGATCACCCACACTGCCAAGCAGCAATCTTATACTCTCAAAAACCATAATGCCACTCAATTGTGTGCACTTTGGACCACCACAGGAGGAAAATTTTCTCCTTCTGCAGCCTTAGTGCCACACACCAAGCCCTAAATGCGCCACCGTGCACGTCAGGGTGCGCTGTACAGACATTTCTACAACACTAATCATACCATTCTCCCGTCCCCCCCTCCCCCCCCCGCCCCCCC